AGAAGAAAAAATATGAAGAAGAGGAAGAAAGGGAAGGAAAAAAAGGGGGAACCAGAAGTAGATGAAGAAGAAAAGAGAGAACTAGAAGAAGGAAGATGAAAATTGGAAGAAGAAGAAGAAAAGGAAGAAGAAAGGGAAGAAGAAAGTGAAGAAGAAAGGGAAGAAGAAAGGGGGAACTAGCAGAAGAAGAAAAAAGGGAGAACTAGAAGAAAGAAGGTGAAAATTAGAAAAAGAAGAAAAAGCTAATACGAAGAAGAAAGGAGAAAACTAGAAGAAGAAGAAGAAGAAGAAAAAGAATAAAGAGTAGTAGTAGTAAACAAAGGAGAACTAGAATAAAGAAGAAGGAGAAGAAGATGGGAGAGAACTAGAAGAAGACGAAAATTAAAAAAGAAGAAAGGTAATAAGAAGAATGAGAAGAAGAAAAAGAAGAAAGGAGAGAACTAAAAGAAGAAGAAGAAGAAGAAAAAGAATTATTATTATTAGTAGTAGTAGTAGTAGTAACAAATGAGAACTAGAATAAAGAAGAAGAAGAAGTAGAAGTAGAAGAAGAAGAAGAAGAAGAAGAAGAAGATAAATAAGAAGAAAACAATGAACTAGAACAAGATGAAAAAGAAGAAGAAAAATAGTAGTAGTAACAGTAGAAAAGCAGAATTCGAATAAAGAAGAAGAAGAAAAAGAAGAGAAGAAGAAGAAAACAGGAGAGAACTAGAATAATAATAATAATAATAATAATAATAATAAGAAGAAAGCAATGAACTAGAGGAAGAAGAAGAAGAAGTATTAGTAATAGCAGTAATAGTAGTAGTAGTAGTAGTAGAAAACGAGAACTATAATAATGAAGAAGAAGAAGAAAGGGGGAAGCTGAAGTAGATAAAGAAGTAGATGAAGAAGAAGAAAGAGGAGTACTAGAAGAAGAAAGATGAAAATTGGAAGAAGAAGAAGAAGAAGAAAAAGAAGAAGAGAAAAGAAGAAGAAGAAGAAGAAGAAGAAGAAAAAGAAGAAGAAGAAAAAGAAGAAGAAGAAGGAGGAAGCAGAGGTAGATGAAGAGGAAGAAAGAGGAGTACTAGAAGAAGGAAGATGAAAATTGGAAGAAGAAGAAGAAAAAAGGAGAGAACTAGAATGAGAAGAAGAAGAAGAAGAAGAAGAAGAATTAGTAGTAGTAGTAGAAAGGAGAACTAGAATAAAGAAGAAAAAGAAGAAGAAGAAATGAAAGAAAAAGGGGAAACTAGAAGAAGAAGAAGAAGAAGAAGAAGAAGAAGAGGAGGAGGAGGAGGAGGAGGAGGAGGATGGGGAATGGTGAGAGCTAGTTGTTGGAAATTGTTAAAAGTAAATGCAATCAAATGAAGCCTATAGAAGAATAGTAAGATTGGGACAATTATAAATGAATTGCAAATGGCATTCCTGCTAAAATAAAGCTGAAAAAGAAAGAAAAAATTGGTTTCAGGGGGAAAAGGAAGACTTATTAACTTAAATATCATTATGAATTAATCTTATTCGGTTCCCTGCCGTCGCAGTCTAACATTTTGACTCCCTCATTCCCAACCCCGACTCTATATGTCCGCTTGAAAAATGTCTTTTCCAGAAAACAAGTTCTTGTATTTCAGCCATGAAACCACTTGTGGGTGAATGTTAGAATCAACAAGAACGGAAACAAGAGACTTTGATCTACGCTGAGGATTAAGTGCGAATCTTTTTGGTTAAAATGAAAAGAAAGTCTTACATTCAAGGTGCTCGTTACATATAATTGCACTTGAAAAGAACACTTAAAGTAGTAGAAAGAAAAAGAGAAGAGGAAGAGAGAGAGAGAGAGAATAAAAAAGAAGAAAGAGAAACTGTCTATATTTCTGAGATGAGGTATTATGTACATTATTTACATTATTCGGACTATTGTCCTTATCTTTGTCGCCATATTTATTACAACGTTTCGGCTTTTCAGTATCTGTCTATATTTCTGAGATGAGGTATTATGTACACTATTTACATTATTCGGAATATTGTCCTCATCTTTGTCGCCATATTTATCACAACGTTTCGGCCTTTCAGTATCTGTCTATATTTCTGAGATGAGGTATTATGTACACTATTTACATTATTCGGAATATTGTCCTCATCTTTGTCGCCATATTTATTACAACGTTTTGGCCTTTCAGTATCTGTCTATATTTCTGAGATGAGGTATTATGTACACTATTTACATTATTCGGAATATTGTCCTCATCTTTGTCGCCATATTTATCACAACGTTTCGGCCTTTCAGTATCTGTCTATATTTCTGAGATGAGGCATTATGTATACTGTTTACATTATTCGGACTATTGTCCTCGTCTTTGTCGCTATATTTATTACAACGTTTATATCGTTCACTGGGGTAGACAGTAGATAAAGGCGTTAGTTAAATCCAGTGACAGGACCCAAAGAGTGTGAGTTTAATACCCGGTTAAGGCAGTGGAGAACCTTTAGAGGGAAATTAACAGGAGAATACTGATAGCTGACATAATTATTATTAAACATGGCACGTGGAACTAGAACAGTCTAACCCTGTGAGCGAAATAAAAGTTCGACTTTCTAACCACCCGAAGAAGACCGGAGCGAACAACGGCCGAAACGTCGTAATAAATATAGCAACAAAGATGAAGACAAGAGTCCGAATAATGTAAATTATGTAAGAAAGAGAAAAGAAGAGAGAGAAAAAATAAAAGAGGAGAGAGAGAGAGAGAGAGAGAGAGAGAGAGAGAGAGAGAAAAAAGAGAAGATGGAAAATAACTTGTCTCTATCCCTTTTGTATGCAAACATCATTCTTAAGTTGTGAACTTTCAGCAAAAGCCTGTTGTTGTGGAGTAGTGGATAGCGGCTCTGAATGAGGAATCATAGAGCCGAGTTCGAATTCCAGTCGAATCCGTTTCTTTCACTTACGTGCTAATACACGTATGAATGCTCTTCTTCATCCATCTATGGCTAAATATCTGTGGCAGATCGTGTTCTCTAGACTTGGATTGCAACTGGTTTACCGCAGAAAGAAATGGCAAACTACTGCGGGAAAAATCTGCCTCGTAAGTCATGTATCTTTCGATACATGATCGCTTAAGCGTGTATCACGCATGCCACATAACTGACTGAGATAGATAGATAGATAGATAGATAATAAAATATGAAACGTGCAATGGGAAATGTATGAATCCTCTACTTCTCCCCCTCTCATCCAGCTATGGGTAAAATTGCAGGACAGAACGGGTTCTATAGCCTTGAATGGCAACTGGTCTGCCGCAGAAAGAAATGGAAAATCTGCCTCGTCAGTCATGTATCGAAAGATACATGATCGCCTAAGCGTGTATCACGTATGGCCAATTACTGACTGGTACAGTTTGTCAACAGAAAATAAATGGCGTTCACATTCTTAGGTTACATTTATTCTGGGACACCCTACGGGGAGAAAGAACGATAAAAAAAAAAAATTGCCATTGCATTTAAATTTTTGATGATCACATAACTGACTGATTGTTGCTTTGGCTAGTTTTGTTTTCCATATATGTTGTTTGCTTATGATTATTTAACTCTGTTCTTTTTCATTCTTTTGTTATTGCGTATTGGAAAACGTTGTGAATTCTGTTTGTTGGGCAATTCTGCCAATTACTTTTAACCATGACTAATTATTCTGCAAAAAACGACATAAAAGTTTATGGAAAGGAGATAAGAAAAGCTAGAAAAGAGAAGAAAAGGGAGAAAGAGTGGGAATAAGAGGGGAAGGAAGACAGACCGGAGAAACTCGATAAGAATAGAAGTGGGAAAAAGAGAAGAGGAAGACGAGGAATAGAGGAAAAATGGCAGTAAAGAAAGATAGAAAGAGAAAGAAACAGAGAAGTGTAGAAAGAAAAAGAGGAATGAGAAGAGATCCAGGAGAGAGGGAGGAAGCAGATAAAAAGAGAGAAGAAGAAGAAGAAGAAGAAGAAGAAGAAGAAGAAGAAGAAGGAGAAGAAGAAGAAAAGTGAGAACTAGAAGAAGAAAAGAAGAAGAGAAAAGAAGAAAAGAAAAAAGTGAGAACAAGAAGAAGAAGAAGAAGAAGAAGGAGGAGGAGGAGAAGAAGGAGAAGAAGAAGAAGAAGAAGAAGAAGAAGAAGAATGGAAATGAGAAATGCGATGAGGAAATACAGAAAACAGAAGAAAGCGTGCAAAGAAAAGAAGGAAAAAGGAAGAGAGACAAGCGAAGTAATGAAAGCTAAAAAGGGGAGAGAAAGATAATGGAGATAAAGAAATATAGATAAACAGAAGAAGAGAGAGAATGAGAGAGAATGTGGGAGAGATCAAAGAAAAAAGATGGAGGAGAGACTGAGGAAGCTGAGAAACCTGAAAAGAGAGATAAAAAGAGAATGAAGAAGGTAAAAGAAAGATGACTTATTAAGGTAGAGGGAGTGAGAGTATAATCTTTTTAAGTAGTGGGGGTGAGAGACGAATTATCAGAAAATTGATGAGAGAGAGAGAGATTATTAAAGGAGAGGCGAGGACAGAAAAAATATAGGGAAATAGAGTTAGAAACGAATTATTAAGTTAGACAAGGAGAGGGACGTATTATTAAGGTAGAAGGGTTGAGATTATTATTAACATAGAGGGCTGATAAATGAATTATTAGGGTAGAAGGGGTGAAAGAAGAATTGTTAAAGAAGATGAGGTGAGAGATGAATTATTAAGGTAGAAGGGGTGAGTGATGAATTATTAAGGTAAAGGGATGAGAGATTGATTATTAAGTTAGAAAAGGTAAGAGATGAATAATTAACAAATAAGGACTGAGAGATGAATTGTTAAAGTAGACGTGGTGAGAGGAGAATTATTAAGTATGAGTAGTGAGAGATTAATTATGCAGGTGAAGGGGTTGAGAGATGAATTATTAGGTTAGAAGGAGCGAAGAAGAATTATTAGGTAGACGGGTGAGAGATGAATTATTATAGTAGAGAGGGTAAAAGATGAATTATTAAAGAAAGTGTGTGTGAGTCGAATTATTAAGGTAAAGGGCATGAGAGTTAATTATTAAGGTAGAGGGGTGATAGATTAATTATTATGGCATAGTGGGTGAGAAATAAATTATTAAGGAAGATGGTTTGAGAGATGAATTATTAATGTAGAGTGGGTGAGAGAAGAAATATTATGGAAGAGTGGTGAGATTTGAATTATTAAGTTAGGGAGGATGAAAGATGAATTATTAACATGGTAGGCATTAGCGATGAATTATTAAGGAAGAGTCGGTGTGCGATGAATTATTAAGGAAGAGTCGGTGTGCGATGAATTATTAAGGAGTTAAGAGATGAATACAGGACTGAAAGATGAATCATTAAGGAAGAGAGGGTAAGACATAAATTATATAGGTAGAGGTTGTTTGAGATGACTTATTACGTAAGAGGTGATGAACGATAAATTATTAAGGCCTAGTGTGAGATAAGAATTATTATTGATGATGGGTGAGAGACGAATTATTATGGAAGAGTTGTGAGTGTTGATTTATTAAGGAGAAACGCGTGCGAGATTAATTATTAAGGTAGAGTGGGTGAGTGATGTATTATTAAGAAAGTGGAGGAGAGATTAAAGAAGAAGAGTTGAAATAATGACGTAATAATGTCGTTTCTGACGAACTTTTCACGTTAAAAAACGACATTCTTACGTCATTATTTTTGCACCAACCTAATAGAAGGGGTAAGAGAAGAATTATTAAGGGAGATGTGTGAGATGTGTGAGAGGTAAATTATTAAGGATGAGAGGGTGAGAGGTAAATTATTAAGGAGGAGAGGGTGAGAGGTAAATTATTAAGCATGAGAGGGTGAGAGGTAAATTATTAAGGATGAGAGGGTGAGAGGTAAATTATTAAGGAAGAGATTAATTATTAACATAGAGTGGGTGAGTGATGTATTATGAAGGAAGAGGCAGTGGGAGATGAATTATTACCTGACACGGGGTGAGAGATGAATTATTAAGGAATAGTCGGTGAGCGATGAATTATTAAGGTAGAGGAGTTGAGAGATGAATTATTATAGTACAGCACTGAAAGATGAATTATTAGGGAAGAGAGGGCGAGACATAAATTATATAGGTAGAAGTTTTTAGCGATGAATTATTAAAGCCTAGTATGAGATATGAATGACTATTGATGATGGGTGAGAGAAGAAATATTATGGAATAGTGGTGAGATTTGAATTATTAAGGGAGATGTGTGAGAGGTAAATTATTAAGGGTGAGAGGTAAATTATTTAGGAGGAGCGGGTGAGAGAGTAATTATTAACGTAGAGTGGGTGAGTGATGTATTATGAAGGAAGAGGGAGGGAGAGATGAATTATTACTTGACAGAGGGTGAGAGATTATTAAGGAAGGGGAGTGGGCCCATAATAATATGTCCCATCCCCTTTCCTTAATAATAGACGGGGTGAGAGGAAAATTATTACGGGAGTGAGGGTGAGTGATTATTTATTAAGCTTGGGTGGGTGGGAGATGTATTATTAAGGAAGAGGGAGGTGGTGTATGATGAATTATTAAGGTAGATGCAGTTATCGATGTATTATTAAGGTAGAGATGTTGAGAGATGAATTATTAAGGAAGAAGGGGGAAAGATGAATTATTAAGGAAGAAGAGGGAGAGATGAATTATTAAGGAAGAAGGAGGAGAGATGAATTATTAAGGAAGAAGAGGGAGAGATGAATTATTAAGGAAGAAGGAGGAGAGATGAATTATTAAGGAAGAAAGGTGTGTGAGGATTTATTAAGGTAGGGGGGTAAGACATGAATTAATGTAGAGGGGGTAAAAGATGAATTATGAATGTGGAGGTTGTTAGAGATTAATTATTAAGGAAGAGGGAGTGAGAGATGAATTATTAAGGAAGAAGGGTGTGTAAGGAGTTATTAAGTTGGGGGTAAGAGATGAATTAAGGAAGAGGTGGCAAAAGATGAATGATTAATGTGGAGGGGGTGAGAGATGAATTATTATGGTAGGTGGAGTGAGAGTTGAATTATTAATGAAAGAGGGGTGTGAGATTAATCGTTAGGGAAGTGTGCTTGATATACATATTATTAAGGAAAAGGGTGTGAAAGGTAAATCTTGTTTACTCCCGCTGTCATTCCCTCTTGGAATATTCTTATATTTGTTAAGGTTCATTAGAATAATCCAGAATCTATACTGTAAGAACAACGCCTGCATGCAGGTAAAAAATATATCCTGTAAATATGTCTTCTCATCTGTTGTAGAGTAGTTTCACAGTGAAGGCTTGTATTTCACTAAGTAGGTCCTAAAATAGGTTCGACGTACAAAACGTTAGGAACTTGATATTATAGATAATGACGCAGTAATCTAGTTGTGGTGGCTGATACTCTAATGTCCGACATTGACTGACTTATCAACTCACTGAGCGGTATTTAGTCAGCCTCCCACGAGGGCATCATGTGGCACAAGGCCGGTTTAACGTGGGATCTCCGAGCCCGTGGGCTCGGCTAAAAATATGCGCTTTGAACCCGTATAAACGGGTTCAGGGTCGGTTTACCTCCCCGAAAGAGACTCCGCCTTCGGCGTAGCCTCGTTCGGGTTTCTTCCCGACCGAAGGCAGAGAGTTCAACCGTTCAGCCGGTCGTCCGACTTCAGACTGAAATCAGACCAACTCACTGAGCGACTTAACGACTGCTACTACTGCTACTTATTATAGGTGGGAGAGTCTATTAACTATAGAATAGGTATGTTCCACTATAACATCATAAGACTAATTCAACCTAAACATGGGCACCTCGAGGTCGTGTAATGGTTAGCAAGCTTCTCTCGCTAGAACAATTACGACTGAGTAGTGATTTCAATCCTCACTGGGTGCCCCTTATTTCGGCCTTGTGCCACATCTTAGCTACGCTTGGAAAATCGCTATTCAACCTATACATTAAGGTCATTCTGAAAGAATTACAAGTCTTGCGAGGATTCATTATTGTCGTTCACGAGATAAAAGACATAAGACATGCTGATGACACGCTTTTGATAGCAGATACAGAAAAGAAACTCCAAACGCTCCAATAGAAGGCAGTGAAGGAAAGCGAGAAGAAAGGACTAAGCATCAATTGCAAGAAGACGGGATGCCTGGTTGCTAGCAAAGGGGAGAGGCCAACATGCAAATTACAAATTGGCGATGCCAAAATCAAATAAGTACAATGACATAAATATCTGGGAAGCTTTTCAACAAAGGACGGAACGTGTGAAACTGAAATCCGAAGTTGCTTTGGGTTAACAAAAGATGCTTTCCAAAAGCTAAGCAGAGTATTAAGAAACAGAAATTAAAAGTAATTAAACTCAAAGAAAAGTGTACTGAACAGGAGCAGGCTTCCTACATGACAGTGAATGCCGGTAATAAGGAGTGCCAGAGAAAAGCGATAATAACAACGGAAATTGTAATATGAGCTCTGATAAAAAAATACAATGCTAACAGCAAAAATTGCAATGAACATCGGTAAAAAATGGTTGCTGAAGGTTTATAATACCCAGAGATTCGCACACAGATGTCCTCAAGGACACATGGCACAGTGGATAAAGTCGTTAGTTTGATCCAGTAACAGGACGCAAAGAGTGTGAGTTCAATACCTGGTTAAGGCGGTGAACTTAGAGAGGGGAATTAACAGGAGATAACTGACGTCCATAGCACGTGGAACTAGAACAGTCTACCCCAGTGAGCGCAATAAAGGATTCACTTTAACATTCCAACCGCCTGAAGAAGGCCGGAGCGTACAACCGGCCGGAACGTTGTGATAAATATGGCAACAAAGATGAGGACAATAGACCTAATAATGTAAATACCTCATCTCAGAAAGATACGCAATAGAGAACATTAAATAAATTAAGACTGTTTAAGTCCTTATTGTTTGAACTTTAGATATTTGAACATTGTAGGGTTGAGTCGTAAGTCATTTTCGTTTTGGCAATGGTTGGTTTTGGTTGCAATATTTTGAAGAATAAAGTGGATAAAAAAAACATTACTTGTGATTCAACGTAATATATAAAGTACGTATATAAAAATATCACAGAGACGAAGGAAAGAGTACTGAACTGTTATGTAATATCAGTCCTCCTATATGGCAGTGAATGCTGGACAATCTCTTCACAGATGAAGAATAGACTTGAAGCAAGAGAAACAAAGAAAAGATTACTGAACTGTTATGTAATATCAGTCCTCCTATATGGCAGTGAATGCTGGACAATCTCTTCACAGATGAAGAAGAGACTTGAATCAACAGAAACAAAGAAAAGAGTACTGAACTGTTATGTAATATCAGTCCTCCTATATGGCAGTGAATTCTGGACAATCTCCTCACAGATGAAGAAGAGACTTGAAGCAACAGAAACAAAGAAAAGAGTACTGAACTGTTATGTAATATCAGTCCTCCCATATGGCAGTGAATGCTGGACAATCTCTTCACAGATGAAGAAGAGACTTGAAGCAACAGGAACAAAGAAAATAGTACTGAACTGTTATGTAATATCAGTCCTCCTATATGGCAGTGAATGCTGGACAATCTCCTCACAGATGAAGAAGAGACTTGAAGCAAGAGAAACAAAGAAAAGAGTACGGAACTGTTATGTAATATCAGTCCTTCTATATGGCAGTGAATGCTGGACAATCACCTCACATGTGAAAAAGAGACTTGAAGCAACAGAAACAAAGAGTACTGAACTGTTATGTTACAGCAGGCTTCCAATATGACAGTGAATGCCAGTCAATCTCCTCACCGATGAAGAATAGACTTGAAGCCACAGATATGTGGGTCTACAGAAGCATACGAAGAATACATTGGACACAACATGTGAGTAACAACATATTTTTAGAGGAAATTGAAACAAAAAGGAAATTTTAATTAATATCTGGAAGAGACAGTTGAAATTTCTAGGGGACATAGTGAGTAAAGAAGTTTGGAAAATTTGATACTCAAAGGAAAGCTTGAAGGGGTGTGTGGAACAGAGGAAACATTATATAAACAAGCGTGTAAATCAATGGAGGAACAATG